CAGCCCTGCCAGAGGGGACCCCCAGCTGCCAGCGCTATGGAGCCAGGGACCCGTGTCCGCAGCCCCCTGTCCCCTGCTGTAGCACCAGAGCCCCAGCTGCCAACTGCGAGAGGTGGAAGCTGCTGTGGTCTGAGTGGGGAGCAAAGCGTGGAGCCCGCTCTCCCACAGGTGGCATAGACAGAGTGGAGCCCATTTGGTGGGGTAGGGGTGGAGTTCAGGCTGCCTGCTGCAGACTTGGGCGGGAGCTGGCTCCCCGTTACTGCACGCACTTGGGGGGCCAGGGGAGGCACATGTCCCCCAGATCTGTGTGCAGGGTAGAGGCGGGTGCAGGCTGCAGGACACAGGCTCGGGCTCCCTGTCCTGCTGCCCACCCCGTCAGGGTCTCCATGCATTGCAGCCCTGAGCCTCAACCCCCACACACTGCCCAGGCTGGGCAGCAGCCCCAGCCCCAGCCCCAGCCCTAGCCCTGCCCTATTCCCTCCATCCTTCCCTATGGGGTCCTCAATTCCCCGCTCCTGCCAGACTTACCTGTGGGAGCTGCTCTCCAGGCTGCCTGGTGCCACGTGCATGTACATGATGCCCCCTGCCTGACCTCGCTCCTCCCGCTCCCTCCCAGGCCCCTGCGGGCTGGAAGTCAGCCAGCTTGACGAGAGCCCTTTGCAAAACAGCAAAATCCAGATGTTTCTCCGTAAAAAACCCACATTTATCTCAGGTAAAAGGGAAAATCTATGTTTTTTTTCTGTGGGAAACAGAAAACCTGGGTCCCTGCTCATTACTGATGGAAAGAGGGAGTCAGAGATGAGCTGGCTGGTTCCAGTCCCCTGGAGGATCTGATAGGTGTAGAGGGCCTGTTAATAAAATGCTTGCCTGCCCAGGTGTGGCCAGCAGTTTGGCCAGTGACTAACATCTGGGGGCAGAAGTAGTGGATCAGGTGATGCACAGGGGGAAACAGAGGCAGATAAGACCAGGGCCTGAAGAAAGGCAGGGGGTCTCACCCTGCCTGCTACAAGGAGCAGAGCTCCAGAGAGGAGAGGAGCTGGGCTGGCTAAGGAGGAAGGATTCCAGGCTGGGGCCTGCAAGGAAGGCCCTTCACCACTAAGCAGTGCAGATAATTATGTTTGCCTTCTGTTGTAGCTCATTGCCACAGTGTAGTGTCGACCAAGGGCTGAGGGAACCTTCTGTTTCAGAGTGGATGCTCATCTTTGTCCTTTGTATTGACGTTGGACTAGAGGACCAGGGATGTGGCTGTAGTGGAAAAGGCCACTGAGAAGGGTGCTAGAGACATCTTGATCCTAAACCCTTCCAAGGAGTGGAGCGTTAGGCAGAAAAGACTGACAGCACAAACCCAGAGCCCGCATAAGACCTGAAGCGAACCCTCTGCCCCTGCCCTCTAGGGGCAGCCTCCCTGTCCAATTATAACACCAAGGATGGGCGGAGGAGAATAGGATGGGGTTTAACAC